AAGGCATCGACGTGGTCGTTGGGGTCGAAGGATCCATCGTATTTGTCCAACGGGGGGAGCTTGAAGTCCTTGGGCATGGGGACAGCGAGAAGCTCCGGGGACAGAGGAGAGGGGACCGACAGGAGAGGTGCAGCTCTTACCTCTCCCAAGCTTATTTCTATTTTTCCCTTGAGCTCAGGCAGGTTGTGGATGGTGGTAGTTCAGCGAGACCGGCGTCGTCTTCGCTGCTTCTTGGCCAGCTCGGTGTTGGTTCTGCTGGCTTCAGTATTGCTGAGCTCGACGAGCCCAGAGGGAGGCAGGGATGGCTAACGGTAGCTGCAGACAGATCCTTGTTCCAGGTCACCGGCTAGCACCTCGAACCTGTTCTCTGCGAGTAGAGGCTTGAACAGCGAGTGTTGGGGTGACGCCGACCTAACCGGCTGGGAAGCCCCCGACCTGACTGCGGGCCGCGCGGCGGGGGTAGGGAGCCTTCCCTTTCTTCCATGAGATGATGCTGAAGTCTCTCCCCGGCGGGAAGGGAGTTCACTGCGGCGTTGAGGCTTAGCTGGATGTCGGGGGGGGGGGAGTGAAGGGAACCGTTGTTGATACTGGTACTAGGACATTTGGTGCAGCACTTGCTGCTGGTGGGACTGGAGTTGCTGGAACTGTTGCATCTAAGCCTGCATGGCTCACATGCACTGCATCAGATCCTCAAGCTGGCCTTGGCTGGCCACCGGAGGGAGGATGGTGGGTTCCACGAAGGTTGTTCCGACTGTAGAGGGCAGTGGAATAGTCACGGGTGCCACCGGAGGGAGGACGGTTAGACTAGGGAACCCGTCCACAGAGAGAGGGACGGTGAACTGACCGATGCAGACGATGGGTAACTGGAGTTGTTTCTCAGGGGTGTTCCGGCGTTCGGTGTTGCTAGAGGAAGCCATAAGTGTTGATGATACTGAACAGTTCTTTGAAGAGAGTTGTACAGAAGTTACATGAAGGCCTTTTGAAGCGCTTCCCACAGACGGCGCCAAATGATGCAGCATGATCTGGGCACTCCTAGCTGGCTGTGACCTGGCTTCCGGCTGGAACAATCGGCATCTGTGAGGAAGGAGAAAGTGAAGGGTTCCCGGGGAGATATCCCGGTGGGAACACTCCGACGGCTAAGTTAGGACTAGAGAAGAATCTCAAAGAGAGTAGAGAGTAAGAGTGCTGAAAGTGCTTAAGCTTCAATACCTTTGCCCCACGAGGGTGGTGGTCCTTTTATACCGGAGGTCGGTCACATCAGGTGTAACCGTCACTGCCCTAGCCGTTACTCTAGGACCGAGGTGGCAGGTGCAGGTTGCCACTGCGGGTCACTGCTGCAGGGTACAGACTCGTTAGGTGTGCTATGCTTTTCAGGGACAGCAGGCACGCCGCCGCCTGGCAAGAGATGTGGGCACTGCCACCAGATCTGGCAGGTACGGATGTCAGGCGAATCTTCCCTACAGGCTACCAAACTACTATGATCTGGCAGGTACGGATTCTACGGATGCAGTCTCGAGGTACTTCTCCCTCGGGACAATCAAAAGCTGAGATGCCCCAGCTCGGGGCTCCCTAGGAGAGGAGAGTTCGGGGCTCAAGGGGAGCTTGGGCTCCTTCGCGGTGAGCCCGGGTCCCCTAGGGCTGCGGGAGATCGGGGCGCTTAGGCCTTGCGCCCGGGGTAGGCTGAGCCTCGCCCCCTAGCGAGTTGCTACTCCCGCTGAGTCGCTTGGTCGAACTTCGTCGAGTTTGTTACGCCGTGTTGCGGCCAGGCTGTCATGCTGAGTTGTTGTTCGTGCTAGGTCATGTCCACGTGTCCTCGTGTTACGAGGTCATGCCAAATCACCCTACATCAGATATATTTCAAATATTTTTATGTGTTAAATCAAAATTTTAATCAATCACATTAAAAACATTATACCATCTATTTAATTTTCATTATTTTATGTTTAGCAATCAATTTCTTTGCTTTGCAGTTTATGCACTAATCAGTACAGTATAGATTTTGCTCAAGAATACAATAAGGTCAGAAAATGAAAAATCCCTATTAAATTTATTAGTTTAGATTGCTAATAACATTGGGTGTATGCAACCATTGGAGTTCAGCTTCGGTCATTGTAAGTCTGTGCACACAATAGCCTCTTGCAACCTTGCATTAGGAATCTCCCGAGCATGGAGATATCTTCCAATGCAAGATTGTAAAAGCTGCTAGAATGGGCGTTGCACTGACCAAAGCCAAATTCCAACTATTATGCCCTTAAGAAGCAGTACATGACAAATTTAGACACGTCTTTTCATGAATTCGACCCTAGGTCAACAAACCCAAGTGTTGCATAAATTGTACAATAGCATTTCTCTAAATTTTTAGGGATTTTAGTTGATAATGACAATTTTTGGGCCCTAATATCAATACAAATAAATTTTTTAACATAATTTCTATAATAGGTTAACTTTTTTTTTTTTCAAATATCAAATAGGGGCAGAAATACTGTTCATCTCCTTCTTCCAACATATCACTGAATAAATCTCCCCACCTCCTCTCTCTCTCCCTTCTTCTTATTCTTCTTCTCTACATCTGAGTTTTTCCAAACTCAGAGCAAGACACTCCCCTTTCTTTTTCTTTTCTGAGGCAGAAGCAGTTAAGCAGAAGGAGATGCCCTCTCGTACTTCGACCTGATGTGTCCGGTGGAGAAGTGAAGCAACTTGCTGACTCAAATTGTCTCTCTGATCATTTTTCTCAGGGGAAGAAATTAATAAGAAATTCTGGAAAAGAAGAAGACAAAGGGTAAGAACAAGGCACAACACACACATTCATGTTTCAGTTCGTGGCATCGAAGGTGTACATGAGGTGATCAAAGTGGTAACATCTAACATAGGCATCATGGAGCTATATGCACCCATTACCGTAGAGTGCATCACCAACGGATTTCCAGGCTATGCATATTCCGGAGCCATGATCTCTTATCTCAACCACTCATCCACAATGAAGAGCTCCTCTCTGGAGACTTATACTATCTACTACCTTTGCGTGCCGAGGAGAGGAACCCAAATCACTAGAGACGGTGACTTCAGACCAAACGGATCTCTCTCCCTTCTTCTTCTTCGCCATTTTTGTTTGCAGCAATCCAACAACTATAAGGGTGAACAAAAAGTAGAGATATATGATCAATATTTATTAATATTGGGGGAAATTTGTTCGATGGTTTGAAGGAGGAAGGAGATGAACAATGTTTTTGCCCCTATTTGATATTTAATATTTTTTAGCCTATTTTAATAATTATATTAAAAAATACTTTTATTGATATTAGGGCCCAAAAGTTGCCCTTATCGGCTATAATCCCAAATTTTTATTCCATATAGTGGAAAAAAAGTCACAATCATTCTTGAAAGAAAGAAGATAATTTTTCTTTCACTTATCATACTCTCATATTGACAATGGCCATAACTTGTTAATAGCCAGCCACATCTACGTGCTTTCATTGGTCCATGTTTATCGCAGCCACACATGGAGAACATTTCATCCTCTGCATAGTATTATGCACGGGGAGATGTTCCCAATTCAAGGGGGGTAGTGTATTGTGGGTAGGCGTGGGCAAAGTTCTCGTGGGCAGGAGATCCGAAGTCCATTAATTGACCATGGGAATGGTAATAATTTTTCTATTTCGTTTTTTTTCTTTTTCTGAAAAGCCAACAATAGCGGTGTTTGACGTGTCTACGACGTGCACTCAGAAAGATCCAAAAAGACTGAAATAACCTTTATTCTAAAAACTTGATAAACCAAACTGCCTATAGATGGTAATGATCTTTAAAGACAGAGCCCCAAAAGTTCAGTTTGTCTTCTCACCATTTAACGTATCTTAAGTTAAAATTGCAAAAAGGAGATTAGTCCTTAAAATAAGGAATGCCAAATGCAGCTTAAAAAGACTTGCCAAACCGGTGCCTTTGTATATGTTTGGCATCGATGCTGCTGATGTGTGGGTTGGAAGCTTTTTTTTCTTTGAAAATGTTGCTGCCAGGTAGGACGTTTCCTGGAGCAACAACGTTTTTTGTTTGGTACCAATGCTCTAGGAAACGTTTTTAGCACTAGTACCTATTACAGTGCCACATCATGTCCCTGTTGGCAGTAATGACCTGCAGCTCCAGGAAATGCCAAATTTGGCATTGCTCCAAGCCACACCTTCCTGATTTCCAAGAAGTGACTTGGAACACCATTTTTTATGGAAAAACAGTTCCAAACAAACAAGTGTTTACTGGAGCACCACTTTTTCCGACATGGCACCATTTTCTGGAGCAACGACATTGATGCCAAACAATCGCTTTGTCTGTAACAAATCTAAAAGCCATTGTGGTCTATGGTTTGTCATGGAGCTTCATTTATTTGTTTCATACTTCTCAAGTGCTAGTTTTGAAATGATTAACTTCAAATACTTGGGGTGAGACGTTCAGTTGGATTTAAACAAACAATCTCGTTTATGAAACCAAGACAAAAAGATGGTTTCAAAGTCATAATTGTCTTTAGAGGTTGAAATGGGTTATGAATTGGTTTGTGGTACAAACACTAAAATCTTCTATACACACTGCTACAAGTGATGGCTGAAAGCTTTTACGGATCATCCCAACCCACATTTATGAATTCGGGTCCAAAGTACAAACAAAATAAAAACAAGAAAGGTCAGCTGACATTCACCCCACCAAAATCTCTATAATATATATTATATGCTTTATGAAACATAATTCCAAATCCTCAGAGGAAAACATGCTTTTGAAACAAGAAAATCATGGTGTATCCTGTTTCAGTTTCAGAAATAAGAAATACACCACACAAGCAAAATAACATGTTTTCTATGTTTTGTTTGAAGAATCAATGTTTTTCAGACAAGGAGTGCGACCTTTCTTTTTAGAACTGTCCATATTAACTTTTAAGGGCCATTTGCCAGTATGTATGACTTTGTTTAAAGAAAATGACTGCCACATCAGCCATCAGGAACAAAAATAAGCCCCTAAGATGCAAACAGTTGATTGTTCACCTCAATCTTCTGATTGTTTACATTTGGTATTTAGACTAAATATAATATCAACAAGATTACAATATGATATCAAAATCTATAATTACAATTACAAATATATTGCAATGTAAAAGCAAAACTATTAAATATGAATGTTTGCATGCTGTTTTACAGTCATCATTATCATCTATGCCTTGTCTAAACTGTATGTTGAATACTGTTGTGCCATTCCATTCTGTTCAGTACACAAACTGTCAACAAGTATCTTATATAAATAGTATCGTGACACTTGAAGACGCTTGTGGAAATGTTTGCAGCTCCTTCCTAAATTTCATCAATCTCTCTTCTCTATCTTGGGGCCATGTCTTGGAAGTATTAATAACAATTTTCTGCAAGACCATTGCCCTCTTGAGCAGAAATTTAAGAAACATGAGTTCATTTACATATCCTAAGAGATTCTGAATCTCAACAGACTTCAGGTGATTCAAAGTACATTTTTCCGGCAACTCCGCTTCCCAATATGCTCTAATGACTGGTAAATTAGACTCTGTCTAGAAAAGAGCCAGAGAATCATATAAGAAAAAAATTTAGGTCTCTAAATTGTTTCATCAGTTAAAGAGAAATAAACTATAATAACTGGAAGTCTGGAATACAGGGTTTGGTGATTACCTCATCCCCGTACTGGTACATCGGATGCCATCGGCAAACTCTCTAGGTAAAATCCAAATTAGAAGTCAAAAGTTAGAACAAAACAATTGAAACTGTAATTTAATGATAAAGAGATTTAATAAACTGAATATTAAGTATTTGATTATTACCTTAGTTATTTCCAAGACAAGAGTTTCTATGTCAGTAAAGTGCTTGAGTAAGTAACATATTGCAATGATTGAATCTTTGGAAAGCCCTGATTTCAGCTTCAAATATTTTGATTTAAAAAATGAAGTGGGCAGGTTTTCTAATACATCAGGGACTTCTGCAACAATCTAGGAACATGAAAAGCCCCCCCCCCCCAAAAAAAAGAATAATCCAATAAGATTACATTGCACTTAAGAAAGGGGAAAACAAGAAAATTACAGAATTCATCTTCAAGGGAAAAGGAGAAAATATGCACTATCGAAAGTCCACTTATAAGTCAACCAGGACTAAGTTTAGTGGGTAATATCCCAAATTCATGCTAGAGGACAATTCAATAGTCCAACTTTGAGCTAAAATCAGGACTAGGGGAAAAGAGGATCATAGCTTATAAGCCTGAAAGATTGTCAATGTTATAGCCAATGCGTAGCACAAAAAGATTTGAGTTAATAGTTGCAAGGGAACTGATGATTACAAGTAAGCAACAAGAATTCCATCTAGGAGTTGCCAAAAACTGACTTGTTGTAAGGACTCCTTTTCTAGGAGGGGTTAGGAGTAGGATAAACATGATGACCTTAACATCTGACTGGTTTGCATTTATCCACATAAGTAAAAGCAAACTAGTCAATTCATCTAATAGTGAGTTCTAATGCCATCCTCAGGGTCAAAAAACCACAGGAAAAGTAAGTCTATAACCATTAGAATTTATTCTTCTCTTAGGACAAGGAAAATAACATACCTTAAGCAACAAGTCTGATAATGTTAGAGCTTTTATGTTAGAAAGACCTGTAAGCCATTTTATCATACATTGTGCATACTCCTCCTTCCTCTTGTGAGGAAGCTTTAAGAGTTCATTGTCGTAATCCTCTTCCAAGTACATATCAATGTCGGCATTAACTAGGGAATAAAGGTTCTCTAAAGTATACTCTCTCTTCAAGTGGTCTCTGCACTTAAATGAAATGAGATTTGGAGCAGACACGTTGATCTTACAACTAAATGAACGACCAGATTCCTCATAAACCTCAGAATCCTCAAAGCAAGTTTCTATCACCAAGTTCTTAAGTCGTGGAGCAGAAATTTTCAGATTCTCAACATTCTTCAATGTACAGTATCTTATGATCAATGATTCCAAAAGTGGACAGTTACATAAGAGCTTATTGGTTAATTCATCATCCACAAAACAAAGCGAACAAAGATGCAGGATTTTGAGGTTGGGTAAGCCCATTGAACTAGGTAGAACAAGCTTGGGGCGCTTGGAACCCAAATTCAACTTCAATACACTCATGGATTCAGAAATATAGAGGCAGTGAGGCAGCTCAACAGCTTCTTTAGCAGATACCCTAATATCCACTTCTTCAACATTGCACCTTGCCGCAACAAGCGTCCACGTATGAAGACGACCTGTATCGAAATAATTACGGATGCAGTACAGACGAAATTTCTGTATATGGGAGCCACCACGGAGAAACAAAACTCGGTCTATAAGATCAAGAAACTGGTCCATTCCGAGGTTTTCCCCTCCCCAATTCCAACCGTAAGCTAGAAATAAAATATGGTCGAAATTTAGATAGGGGAGAGTAGTCCAGATGTATCTCCATCTCTTCGACAGCATGCTGGTTTGTACAGCGGATCTTACATCCAGAAAAGAGAGGATGTAATGGAGAACTGCCTTGGGTAAAGCACTGATCCTGTCTGCTGTGCTTTCCACCGCTTTTTCTGACTTAAAAGGCTTCAATTTTTTACTAGGAACAGAGCAAATTTTTGACTCTATTGCTTCCATTGTTCTCTTTTCTCTCTACCAATACCTTTATAATCTCTTATGGTTCAGTCCAAGCTGGATTTCTCGCAATTAGGGCTGTTGAGTTGTGAAATATCTATTGTATTAGGTAGAGACTAGAGAGAGGTACCTTGAATGTGGAGACCGACGTCTTCAATGGCTGAGCGGCGATGATCCGATGGTTTGGCGCAGAACGGTAGAGGCGGGAAGGGGAGAAGGCAAGGGCGATATGAAACATATATAACAACCTATTTTATTTGTATCGAGGTTTCTCACCAAATCTCTGCTTTTCTCTCTCTTTCTCTCTCTCTCTGACTTTCTCTTGGATTAATGAAAGATTATTTTACCAAAAAAAGATTAACGAAAGATTCGGTTACACATACGTAAAAACCGGAGGCGATTCAGTGTCTTACGGTCCACGGGTCCAGTGCCGAGTAGTGACCCTGAGCCCCAGAGGCTCAGACTCGGTGACTCTCGAGAATCCGAGTCTGACTCGCGAGTTGTGGCCGCGGGCCTGACTGTCTGAGCGGGGGAAGACTGAAGAGCCTTGTTTGGTGTTGGTAAATTTGCTGTGGTTAGTTGGTTACCCTTCAAGGCTTGGAGTTCAGATAGGCAGAGACGTTCAATTTCTATCTCCACACATCTAGTGGAAACTACCATCTCCGTAAATTGTTCACTGACTCACGGAGTCGGAGACTACCGAGAATCGTCCTCATGCCAAAGTAAATTTTAGGGAAAATTCCCGATAGGAATAGTGTACTTTAGCTTGAGTGTAAATTTAGTATCCCTTAAGCATTATGAAAAAAGACACAAATGTCATTCTAGTTTCATCTAATTTTTTTTTATCAGCGATCAGCAACAACTGTATAAGAAATGCCCCACCTGGTTTTTCCTTCCAAGACTGATGAGTGCTGAGATGTGTTTAACTCAAAGACTGATAACTCAATGCTTCTCGTTGTGCTAAATTACTGTTGAACGCCACTGTTCATCCTCTTCAAGCTCTCGAACAGCAGCAGTGCATAGCGCTCCCCACGGCCATTATTCTTCCTTCCAATTTTTCTCCTCTCTCTATGGAAACAGTTGCCGTTTTGCCATTTTATACCCTCATGGTTCTGACACCTAAAGCTGAGCTGATAAGCTTTCTGTGATTGTTTAGGTAGCTTAGGTTAACCACATTGAATTAAAAGTCAAAATGATATGTATCTTTTTGGCCTCTTTAAATGCAGACTAAGAGGTCCATTCATGGTATGCACTATACTAGTTAAGAGTTTGGGCTCTGTTTAAATGCAGACTAAGAGGTCCATTGAGAGCACTATGCTAGTTAAGAGCTTGGGCTACCATCGACGCAAAAACACGAACTGGTATGGATTGCATACCATGAATCCCTTCAGTTCAAATTTGGTCTACCGAAGCAGAAAGTCATGCTTCAGTGTCAAGGGTGACGGTAAAGCTAGGGCAACATTAATATCTGGAGAAGGTGATCTCCTATCTTATTACAAAGACGATTCGGTTGCAGGACAAAGTTCTCTTATTTATAGAAAGACAAGTGTTGAAATGCGACCTGATACAGTAGCATTTGGCACACTTGCAGCAGATGCTGCACCAGCTACTGATGAATTTTTGTTGATAAGGATGAACATGATTTGGACCATCCTACAGAAGGGTTTTCCTCTATATCAGAGGCCATTGAAGACATCCGTCAATGCAAGGTTCGTTTGTGGTTATATTGGTATAGGTTGTAGCACCTCATTTTTGTCATTTAAGGTTGTTACTGACTTTGAGTTCACATGTGCAGTTATCATTGTTGTAGATGATGAAGATAGAGAAAACGAGGGAGATCTTATAATGGCGGCATCGTTGGTAACATCTGCAGCAATGGCTTTTAGGGGTCGTTCTTTTTTTTTTTATTTTGAGGGGGGGAAGTTGGTCAATGGAATTTTGGTTCCTATTGACCAAAAATCCTATGTTCATTTTTCAGATTAATGTGAGGACCCGAGAAAGTTTATTTTCCTGGGTATCACTTACTCAGGTGGATAAATAATTTTCCCACCTAGGAGGAAAGTTGCTAACACTTGAATGGGATAAAAATGCCCATTTTAATAATGAATTTTTATGACTAAAATGGTCATTAACTTATTTATTTGATAAATAAAATAACATGGGTAAATGCATTTAACTAGATATGTGTTTCCCATGAAAAACTTAACCAGGTAATTGCATTTACCCAGGTAAGTAACTTACCGAAAAGCGAATGGGGCCTTATTGTAAAGCATGATACTGGAATCGTATATGTAAGCATGAAAGGAGAAGACCTAGAGAGATTAGAACTTCTTTTGATGGTAACCAATAAGGAGAATGATGAGAAACTTCGTACAACATTCATAGTTTCAGTGGTATATGTTCTGCTCCATCTTGAAATAATTGAAATAATGGTTTTTGAAGGTTCATGGTTAACCACTGTTGAGAGTTTGGGCTCTATTTCAAGAAGATGATGAAGTTTTATTTTTAAGGGTAATTTTGGCATTTTCAAAAGTCTTAAATCGCACATGAGGTCACATGATATACATAACTGATGGTCCCATAATGGTAGGTACTTAATTGTTGCATTTTGAAAGTTCAGGTACTAGATTGTCGTGTTTTAAAGTTCGAATACTAAATTGACACTCAGCCTAAAGTACAAGGTACCTATCTGGAATTTTTCCTAAATTTTAACTGAACTGATTGCTTCTTAAAAGAGCATATAATTATAACAAATTACAATTCGAAACAATTAGAAAAGCAGAGGATTTAAAAACAATTGTTCATAAAAAAATGGACATTCCCATGTAAGTGGAAAGGTGTTATTTTATTCCTGGAAGAACCATTTAGGTTGTATTTGGTTTGAAGGAAAAGAAGGGAAAACTTGGAATATTCCAAAAGATTCCAAATCTTCCCTTTGTTTGATTTGATCGTAAATGAAGAAAAGGAAGGAAAATGGGAGGATTTAAAATCATGAAAACGAGGAAGCGGGATCCTTCCATCAGAAACCACTTCCTCGAAAATGAAAGTAAATGTGAGGAAAAAAATTTGAGAGCCTCTCCTTCCATCGAGTTTTTCATGTTCTGAAGAAACAACGATGAATCGTATATAGAGAGTAAATCACTTTATCGAATTCCAACAATTAGAGGTGAAAAGCAGAGATAAATTCGAATCTGAAACTTGCAGTCAATCTCTCTTCTTCTTCTTCTTTTGTATGTTTCATTTGGTTCGAATCTGAACCTCTCTTCTCCTTCAATCGTGTTCTGTTGCTGGCATGCTTTTGAGAGTTCATGGGGATATCCAGTTATTAGCTTGGTGTCTGGTTCCAGTAGACCATTTGTACAGATGGCAGCTCAATGTACAAATCCCGTTTATGGTTGCTAGCTGTAACTATAAGAATTCTAGGGAATTTAATCCTTTGTTTTATGGCATACAATATGACTGAGTCCATGGATGGCCATTTCTAGTGTCTGGGCCTCCCGAATAATATTTGCAGATGCTGACTCATCACAAACATCACCTACTGTGGTTGATATATGGTATTACTAAGAAGTGAACTTTAGAGAATTGATAGGTAATAACATTTTATAGGGAAAATCCACATGAATGAACGAACTCCTTAGACTGAGATCTAAGATGCCAAATACAGGCAAAGATGCAGTAAGTTGGGCAAATGATATAGCTTCCTCTTAAATCTCACGTCATCTTTTTGCCAAGGATATCTCCATTAAAATGTTGATGCCTTGTCCTGTAATTTTGATCTCATTATGTTGTTTTTCTCATTTGATATGTTAGTATCTTGTTTTAGTTTAGCCAATTATTTTTTCTCTGGCCCACTGGTTACCAAATTGTATTGAGCACAGAACAAAGAGAGTAGTTGTTTGGCCACCATAGATTCCTTATGCCCAACTCCATAGGGTTTATTGAATGACCATATATAATTGTACTCCATGGGGTTTAACAAATAATGAGCTTATATGATTGTACTCTGTTAGTTTCTAAATTCCAAAATGTATAAAAATCTATTGAGTTCACAAAATAATAATATATAGAAGGATACGATTAATCAATATCTAGCAATTGTCTTTCGGTGCACATTTTATCATTAGCATCTTTCATAGTGAATGTTTTGCACTTGATTCTAGTGATATGGCACAGAATGCAGAAGCTTATTTCTATTGAAAGGGTTGTTTCCTCCGTATTAAGGTTTGGGATTTTAATTGATTTTGAACACTAGGACAAAATCAACATTTGTGTATTTTGCTGATGATTTTAATCTAAGCATTTGAGATTCTTTTTAGGAATGAACAATAATTTGGTGCTTCAAACTTTGAGAGGAATAAGCAATAGCTTGGTGTTCCAGACCTTTGAACCTTTTAAAGGGATAAGTCAAACCAAGTGTTTTGTCTCCTTGCTTTTTCATCTTTACATGTCAATTGTGACTTGGTGTAGAATATCTAGTCTAATTGGTTGATGCATGGTCTGTACATTTTATTCTGAGAAAGTTGACTTGCCTATTGCTTTTAGTCTTAGTGCTGGTTTTTGGTTCATTCATTTGTCATATGATTGATGGTTTGCTTTAATTGAGATATCCAGTGTTCAAGGGGCTTATGGTGTGACTAGGTTGACAATAAATGTATTTTACAAATTGATAAAAAGCAATGCATGTGTCCTTAACCTGCCGCTAAATTCATCTTCATTTGTAGGAAATCATGCTTTGTAAATATCTACTGTATTTGTGTTGTGTAATATGGAGTGATGCTTGTCTTTCTACCTCTTATGTCGATGTTATGCCTAAAGTTGGTAGTTAAGATTTAATTCCTCGATGTTGTCATGGTATGTAAAAGTGTTCTTATGTTTGGGTTTCTCCCAAGTTGTTCTATAAGGTTATCAGTTTACTGGTTTTGAGGCTTTAGACCTTTGGCTGTGATATGATTTCTTTACCACTTTTACATTATGTTCGTGGTGGCTATAATCCTAGTCTTATGTGATTTGTGAGATGTCCATTTGTTTACATTGTTACCACTATCTGTTTGTTGTGTTTTTAACCCATCATCTGTGACGTTTAGGAGGACTTGCTATTTTATCTTTATCTCAACAGTAAAAGCAGGGTGGGACTTCTCCCTGAGTAGTTAGCGGATGAGGCGACCCTGTCCATATGGTATGATGGGAAAATATTTGAGCATTAACAGAGACTACTCTACCAAAAAATTTATTTAATGGAATTGTTTGATACTCATGCAACCATACCATTTATAG